AAACCAATTTCCAAATGGCTATTACAGGGGCAGCTGTAACATTTCTACAATCATATCTACCTGAAGAAAAGTATTCTAATGTATTTCTAATTGAAAGAAATAATCTTCTTCTASATGTAGTGAAAATGGTGATTGATCACATGATAGCTAACACTACAATTACATATTGGGCTCACGAGGAGAATAATCTTTTGAAGAAAGTAGGTGAACAAAACCTTAACAAAGTTCCCACATTTGCATCCCTAAAACCACTGAGGGCTTGGATCAGGAAAGAAGCAACAAAAGTTAAAAGAGTACATTTTACATAACCCAAGTCCATTATTGGTATATATACTGTATATCATACAGGGTTTGCTAGTTTCTCATGTCAAAATAATACACAAATTCATGTTGTTTAACAAAAGGAAGAAACATAAAATATATTCACTTTTTTTTTGTAAGTTTTAATTCATATCCTGAAGTTAATCTTATTAATRACTTTGAAAATTATTATTAATAATGATCATTCATAATAACTTAAACACAAACAAAGAACAGAAACTTGATATAGTATCAGACTAAAATAAAGTGTCTAGGAGGTCCACTATCCCTGCAGGCCAGCACGTGTTCAATATGGACCAATCACGGATACGACCAATTGCATTTTCATGTGTACTTCCCTTCCAAGAAAAACAAACACTCTATCGATCGATAAAAGTCAATAAAATACACAGTGGACGACAAACTGGAGATTCAATGTTTTGGCTGGTTTCAGGTGGTTTCAAGATGGTTTCAGGTGGTTTCAGGTCGTTTCAGGTGGTTTCAGGTGGTTTCAGGTCGTTTTAGGTCGTTTTAGGTGGTTTCAGGTGGTTTAAGGTCGTTCCTTGTTTTAGTAAATACCAATAGGGTTCAGTAATATTTGATATCAATGACGCGGTAGAAATTCCTGTCCCGCCCCCATTCGGCATGAAATACGTTTTTGTCATAAAAATATTCGACTAGAAATAAATATGTTTTGCTATTCAAACCAAATATAATTTTTCTAGCTAATAAAATAATATAAAACTCGTGCGAGTACTAGATTACAACAATGACGCAGTAGAAATTCCTGGCCTCCATTTACAATCTTTTGTTGTATCAAAAAACAAAAATCGCACTTAAAGTTTCTAATTTAGCTCCAGTTTCTAATTATCTGCTTAGAATACTACAAAATTAAGTTTAAAGTAAGTTGGATCAAGGCACTCTTGCCACGAAAACCACATATGTTCAACCTCTTTCAACTCCTCCGTGTCCTGATCTGACAGATCTCAACGTGCATTTTCACGTCATGTTTCACCAATGTCAATCATGACGAGGTCCACCAATGGCATTCGTTAACACTAAATTCCGATCATACCTAACTCACCAAAAAGAAATGTATTGTGCCCATAGGCCCAGCACTAAAATCCCCTTTGTCAAAGATTCCCATGAAATAACCATGAAGRATACCATGAAAATTAGATGGCCGATTTTTTTTGATGGTTTTTTAATGGCTATGAAAAAACCATGAAATAAACAACTCTTTTTTTCATGGGTTAATTGTTCATGGTTTTTTAATGGTGAGCTCAATTCATGACCCATTAAAATACCATGATTTTATCATTAATATGAGGTTTTTAATGGGGCCCATGAAAACATTCATGGCATATTTATGGCATATTAATGGCTATGAAATTAATGTGAGCCTGATTTTTTATGAGACAATAGAGTAGCATGAGAAAAACTTTTGGCCCATTAAAATGGCATAAATAATCCATGAACATTAACAGAATGGATTCTTAATCTATGATAATTATAATAAAACCATGATTTTTTAACTTAGTGGTCATAAGTTGAAAAAATCTAGTAGAAAAATTTATCTGAAAATACACACTTACCATTGCGACTGCATATGGGATGCTTTTTTTCTTATGTGCCATTGGCTGATCATAACTAAACATAAGCATTTTCTCGTAAACCCATAAAACAGTTTATTGTAGAACTTGCCACTGCTTGATTAAAATTAGAAAAGTGTGTACATCATAGAAGTTCATTAAATAATTGCATTCAAACTATATCTATATATTTACATTCAATAATTTGAAATTTACATCTGGTTGAGAACTACAATTTGAAATTTACAGTACATGCTTTTAAATAAAAGCATATTCGTACAAATCCTTGATTCAATTTGTCAATTAGTGAAATTTGATTATGTTTCAAAAATTGCATGCCATATATATTAATGTTATATCAGTCTTAATGTACGTATTATCAAACCCCTTTTTTTGAAATGTGAACTGTAACATTAAGATAATTCATAGAAAATTAAAAATTAAGTGTGTGTTTGGTTAAATATGCAGTTCCCTTCTCATGGCTGGGGATCAATGAGTTAAATTAAGACTTGGGCCCAGTGGTTCAGACATATAACTTTTGCCGAGTCGAATCTAATTGCCTTTAATTCCAGAGGCCATGAAAGTACAACAAACTACTTATAATAAAT